AACACTGGTGTTTTATTACAGGGCTGGGACGGAGGCCAGAAAGTAGACGTCCCCACACCTCGGAGCAAAACTCACAGTGGGTCTGATATTGAATCCAGCCCCCACAGCGGGGATCACAGGCTCAGGAGGAAGTCAACAGCACCTCCGAGGCATAAACTCTCACCATGATGTCACCCGCCGGCTCTGGAAGCCTTGCTTTTAGCATCGGGGAGGGTCTGTTAGTACAGTAACCTCCCAGCGGCCATATTACTGGTCACATGATGAAACTAAAAAAGCTCCAGTAGCACAAACAGCCCAGAGATCCAGGTCAGGTGAAGCTAGCAAACAGCAAGCAACTATAGCCACCTGTGTCACCGTCCACCTGCCAGGCAGAGAGGCCACGCCCCTAATCATGCAAACTTTATGTCCTAATACGATTTAAACAGGTGGAAGGTGGAAACGATCTGCAGGAACCAGTTTGTATGTCAGGCTGCAAACGACGGGGCTGCCGGAGCCTCTGCTGGACGTTAGAGGAACTGCAGCTGTTTGTGTATCAGCATTTAAACCTGAGCTGTTGTTTAAGTCAAAGGTCTCAGTTAGTGGTTATTGATCTCCCAGTAGTACTGCGAGCCTGAGTATTAGAGCAGATCAACATTCAAGTCGAGCTCGGCGGTATTTAAACTCATATGAGTCATCGGAGCGTCCAGATGATTGAAGGTGACTCAGCGAGATTCACATGCCGTCACATGACGAGTCATCAGGCTCTGTGTTTAGATCAACAATCCCAGCATGCACTATGATGGCAGCGCCCCAAAAAGCTTAAACCAAGTCAAACTGGTCTTCATGGGGGCACCTGATGCAACCATGGCAACCACGGCGAGCAGATAAGCAGCGTTGCCTGAAGGTGAAGAAAACTGATGGTGTCCTGGTCGGGTGGTGCAGCTGAATACAGCGTGGAGGCTGCTCTGTGTTTGCACTCAACACTCCTGCTCTGTGACAGATGATGGTAATGATGAAGTACAGCACACACACACACAGACACACACACACACACACACACACACACACACACACACAGGGCAGCAGGTATATTTTATGGCAGGTGCTGCTCAGAGGTGATGAAACAATAATCAATGAATTCACTTTAACACTTTTATTTACACCCCAGGGCCTCTGTGTGTGTCTGTGTGTGTGTGTGTGTGTCTGTGTGTGTGTGTGTGTGTGTGTGTGTCTGTGTGTGTGTGTGTGTGTGTCTGTCTGTGTGTGTGTGTGTGTGTGTCTGTGTGTGTGTGTGTGTGTGTGTCTGTCTGTGTGTGTGTGTGTGTGTGTGTGTGTGTGTGTGTGTGTGTGTGTGTGTGTGTCTGTGTGTGTGTGTGTCTGTGTGTGTGTGTGTGTCTCTGTGTGTGTGTGTGTGTGTGTGTGTGTGTCTGTGTGTGTCTCTGTGTGTGTGTGTGTGTGTGTCTGTCTGTGTGTGTCTGTGTGTGTGTGTGTGTGTGTGCATGTGTGTGTGTCCATGTCCAGGGTGTTGATGTTAGTGTGTCCAGATGTGTTTTGTGTAACGCGTCACATCATAGATGACGCACCTGTGCTGTGATCACCTGTGCAGAGGCTCCGCCCTATAAGCGCGGCACAGTCACAGGTGACGGCTGTGATGATTGGCTGTGTAGACGAGCAGCTGCGTGTGCAGAAATATGGAAAACGTCTGTTCTGTTTACAAACAGTGAAACAATAAATGCAGCTGAAATGAAAATGAAAACGTTTCCTCACACATCGACCTCGGCACCAATCAGAGCTCGGCATAATTCCTGAAGAATCTTTTCAAAGTAAAAGCATTTTACATTAGTTTCTGAAAGAGTTTACACTCTTGTTTTGAAAAACAATCCCTGAGGTTTGCGTTCTATCACCAGGTGGCGCCATCTGTGGCTGCAAAAACACAACATGGTCCTCTGACCTTTGACCTCTGTAAGGACTTTCCTGCTGATCTGTGGGCCAGCCACTCGTTTCAGCGTTTTTGACCCACTGCTCCCCGTCACCACAGTTTTTGTTACATAAACCAACGGTGACCCCAGAGAGCGTCCACAGGTCAGCAGGTCACTGATCACAGGTGAGGCTGCTGGACACCAAACAGGAGCATCAGTGACTTTTAACTATAAGTAATAAATATAAATAACGAAGCCCTGAGGCCATTCCAGGTGATTTAAGCCCACCCACACTGTGACCCGTGTGACCAGTGATCACATGGTGACCTGCTCCCACTGATGGCTTAAGACTTTTAGAGCTGAAGAAGCCTTTTGGATGAGAGCAAAAGAATTCCCGCTCAGCCTTCTGCCGCCGCGATGAAGCTTGAAGGTTTTCCTAACAGCGAACACATTTCTCACCTTTCCTCTCACCTGTTGGGTGGTGTGGCTGCTGGACCAATCACAGCTCCGTTTGTCTTGAATAGAAACTTTATTGTGACGCTGGCGTGCTCTGACGACGGCGCCGCCGGGTCGGCTCACTCGTGCTTCTTCCTGTGTTTCAGCAAACAGGAGCTCCTCGCCATCTCCAATGTTCCTGTGGCTGACGCCCCCCCCTCTCCGCCCCGCACCGCACCCCCCACCATGAAGGTAACAAGCCATTTATTTTCATCTGCACATTTCATGAACTTTGCTTTCACATCGCTTTCAGTTTTAATGAGCTGCAGGAATCAGAAACATTGTTTTTGTTTATTTATGTTTTTAACAACTTTTGTTCAGACGGAGTCACCGTCTCACCACAACAGCAGGTCCTTGTAATGTTGCCTCTGTGCACCACCACAGTGAAGGTGGATGAGGTCAGCCATCCAAAGAGAAGGCAGAGCAGGCAGGGTGGAGTGGGTGGAGATGAGCAGCGAAAGGTCTAAAGATGGCAGTGAGAGCTGCTGTGCTGGAGGGTTGGTGGGCCTCACTTTAATCACAGAAAAGCTGCTGACCTGAGATCAGCTCTTTTCTTTATGGTGAGAAACTCCTGAGAAGCTTCTCAGCCTCCATCTGTGTGACGGAGCAGAGGCTACAGCCCGCTTCACCCAGGAACACCAGCCCTCTGCAGCCGTACAGGCTCGACAGACAGATGATGGGATCTTTTCTCCTCATCAGTCTGCTCCAGCTTCATCCTGGTTTCATCTTTCAGACCTGTGCAGATGTTCCTGAGTGTAACCAGAGGTTTGCACCTTCTGTCTGACCTGAGTCTTCCTGACCTGGTCAGACGGGTGAAGCTGTTTTCCATCAGCATGGATCTGACACATCTGTGGGAGTGTTACACACAGCCCTCAGGAAGAGTGCTGACAGATAAGAGCTAATCTCTTTACCCTCTTTGGAGGTCATATGAGGAATTTCAGTGAACAGCAACAAGTTCAGCACTCTGATGATGTTTTACCTGCCTGCCTTCAACCGCCAATGCAACACTTTAATTAAATGCTTCAAATTAAAGCTGAAGGCCAGTCACACCTGGATGGATCCACTGTGGGGTGTACAGAGCCAATATTTCCACAAACTTATGAACTGTTAGGTCATTCAGACCACATGGAGCTGAACAGGAACCTCAGCAGGTTCAAATAAACCAGAAAAATCCTCAGAAATGAACTTTTAAGCGTAAATGATCCAACAGACACAAATAAACAGCTTTGACCCCGTTTGTGTGTCTGCAGTCGGCTCACTTCTTTGACATGATGGACAAGATGGAGGTAAGAGTGTGTGTGTGTGTGTGTGTGTGTGTGTGTGTGTGTGTGTGTGTGTGTGTGTGTGTGTGTGTGTGTGTGTGTGTGTGTGTTTTTTAAGACTTTTCTTCAAAATGAATTCTCTCCTTATCCGGAGCAGCTTCTCCGACAAACAACAGGCTTCATGCAATATTCATTTAGCTTCCAGCAGAACAAAACCAGGTTTCAGCCTTTAAATCAGGTACAAACATGACACAACGACGCTGCGGCGTTTCATCCGTCACTTTGGATCTTTGTAATATCTCTGGACACGTGACACATCTAAGGCGTGTTATTTCCCCTTCTTTCTTTCTTTTATATGTTTTATCCTGTTTCATGCTTCTTGTTCTCTCTGGATGTGCTCCTGTTACACCTACACCTCTACGTCTCATCGCACATCATCATCGTAGCCCTGAACAGGGAAATAAGTTGGATTTTTCCTGCTTGTTTCCTCAGATAAGTCACCCGGTGACTGATGACAAACAGCTGCAGGGTTTAAGTAAAAACAACCGGAGAATCAGCAGATTCTGAACTAGACAACAGCAACACGTAACACTCTCTTTATTTATTAAACACAATAAATCCTTCAGCAGCGAGGGTTTCTGTGTGTCTCCCACTGTGGAGGATCTGTGGGCCACTCGCCTTCACAGCGTTGCTTCAGCTCGTTGAGGTTTCATTCAGCCATGCACAGAGAGCTGTGCATGCACAGAGAGCTGTGCATGGCTGTGTGTGGATCTGTGACCTGCTGATGACCCAGTTTGGTCCAGCTGTGGGACAGACGTCCGCACCCTGACTCTGAACACTTTGGTTCATCACCGCTGCATGTGTTAGTTTTTTGATTTTGAACAAACTCTTTGGTCTCGCTTTGTTCCAGAAGTCTTTGATCAGCTGTAGCTTTGCAAACTTTGACCTTTGACCTGCTAACTGAGGCCTATAGAGGTGGAGCTGTTGGGACCTCAGGTGAAAGGTGTCGTTGTGTTAACACACCTGAATGCTGCAGAGCTACAAACCTCTTAGTCGATCACGCTCCTGTTTACCCAACAGCTCAGTGTTTCTTCACTTTGGTTCTGTTTTGGTTGAATAAATAATCAAAGAGATTTTTATTATGTCCTGATATGTAAAACATTAACACACCATTGCTAATTATTAAATAACAGAAATTAATTTTTAACATATTTTTTGTGAAGTAAAGAAATTTGTCTTTTTTTTTTGTTTGTTTACTTTTTCTTTAATTTTGTGAAATTTGTTTGTCAGAGTCAGAAAAACTCTTCAGCTGATGTTTGTGTGGTTAAAGCTCGTCTTTATCAAAGCTTCACATTAATCCTGTTAGCCTCACAAAAGCTCTAAAAATCCACCAGTGGCTGAAATGTTCCTCCATCAGTGCACATATAATCCACCAAATCTGCATTAATCCGCAGCTGAAAGTAGTTCCATGTAAACACACTGTTTCCTCCCATATTAGCGAGCTGTTTCTTATTTTAATGAATCAGACTGAACCTCTGTGAGCTGTTTTACAGCTTCACGTGTTCGGGTGAAACAGTCTTCATCACGTCTCTCTCCCCGTCTCTGCTGCAGCAGGTGCCAGAAGCTGCAGAGATGAAGACAATCCCTCAGAGACAGAAGGCACGTCTGTCCATCTGTCTGTTTGTCCTCATATCCACCCGCGCTCACTTTTACGGCTTCATTTCATTCATGCTCATAAAGATAACCTGGGGAAGTCCAACCTTCAGCAGGTGTGAGAGCCTGATCGAAGTTTCATCACCCGACTCAGCTGAGAACAAACTGTACTTAAAAGATGGAAATGACCACTGTGATTGTTACAGACTGTATATAAAAGATGGACGTGATCAGCGTGGTTTTCACATGTTGGAATAAGGGCGGAGTGCTAATGCTAGCAGCTAGCTGTGGTGGTTCTACAGTGTGATGATGATCATGTCTGCGTTACACGCAGGAGGACCATGTGACAAACACGCTGACGAGTTTATCTTAGCTGCACTCGGGTTTGTTTCCTGGAGTGGCAGCACAAAACAAAAGCTAGCCGGGTGCAGTGATGGCGGCTGTGGTCGACCGCGGTGAACGCTGAGGCTGTGAGCTCCTCGTTGTGTCTCAGTGATTGTTTTGAATAAACGTCCTGCTCAGCGTCATCCCTCCTGTGGTCGCCTGCATGTCTGCATCATTCCACTTCATGCATCTGTGTTCATGTTTAAGCTTTTTCACTGTAAGTCCATCTCATGGATATTTTTTATGTTCATGACTTCAAACATAAAAACAGCACATTTACATAAGTAAAGTCAGTCAGTGATGAAAGGACAGCTTTGATTCCTCGTGTGTCCAACACATGTTTGACGTCTCCGTCTTTCTGTTTCAGGACGACTACATTCCTTATCCGAGGATCGAGGAGGTGAGACCGATGTTAACACAGCTCAAAACACAAAGCTGAACATTACTGCTAATTGTTTTTTTCAAAAAGGAGGCGTAACAGGAAGTCAGATCAGGGGTGCGTCAGCCAATAAGAGGAGAGGAAAGTTTTATTATAGTCATTTTGTTCATACTGACAGCAGCTAACAATCTTGGGGGGGGGGAAAGACTAGATTCTCCACTGGACCGCCTCCATATGACTCAAACTCTCACTTTCCTCTGATTTGCCAGCTGCAGGAAGCCTGCTGAGGGGTGAGGTGTGTGCTTTTGTTTCACACCTGTCTGAATGTGTGTTGCAGGTGTTGGAGAGGGGGGGGCCGTACCCTCAGGTGATCCTACCTGAGTTTGGAGGCTACTGGATCGAGGATCCTGATGCTCCTCCTCCCTCTGCAGCCAGCAGGGGGAAGGAGGAGGTGGAGGAGGAAGGAAGACAAGAGGAAGAGACCGCCCCAGGGGATTATGGGTACCATCTGGAGGAGATCAACGAGGCTGCTCGGGCGTACAGGAAGCACTTCTTGGGCAGGGTGAGGTTTGATTAAATCCATCTTCATCCTTTGCTGTCACCTGATTGGTTGACGTCCTTCTCTTTTGTTGTCAGGAGCATTTAAACTTCTCGTGCTCATCGAGCAGCGTGGGAAACCTGCTGCTGTCTGTGAGACACGAGCAGGAGAAGGAGCACGAGCACCTCCTCGTCATCATCAGGTAACATGACAGGCTTTCATGGCAAGGGACTACAGACTGTAAAGAAAAGATGGGAAACCCTGCTTTCTTTCTAATGTTCAATCAATCAGAACTTTATTCATCACATGCAAGTTGCCCTGCAGTGAAATGGGTCTGGGCCCAGACCCGCCGTGTCCTCCAGGAGGGAACAAGCATCGAAGGCGTTTGAAAAGGGAGGAGGGATGAGTGCTTATCAGTGTGTGTGTGTGCGTGTCCAGAGTTCAGCTGAGACAGTGTCCTTCACCCTGCCAGGCTAAGTAAACAGTCTTCCAGCCAACCCAGGTGGCCTTGCATGGAATGGGAAGAACAGACTCAACACAGTCGTTATCAGGGTGTTGTTGTTCGGCTCCAGCCTTGAGCCCACAGCTGGCGCCGAAGGGATAGCCGCATTATGATGGTGGTTTTTACTTTAGTGCGAACAGCTCATGAGAATTTCAAAGCTGTTCTACAGTCCAACACTGGTCTCTCAATCTCCCGTTGGAGAGCCGCGAGGTTCTCCATGATGTTATCAAACTTACGCTCCGTGATGTTGTCAGTCTTGTGCTCAAAGAGCCGATTCTGAGAACTCACGACCGCAGTGAGCTGCTCCAAGATGTGATCCAATGTACTCTCAGAGGTCTTATTCTGAGTGTTGACGGCAGCCGTAAGCTTCTCCAAGCTCTTAACCATGCTGCACTCAGTGAGCCCATGTTGAGAAGCCGCACCTCATCCCGTCGTTTCAATCCCAGCGGGCAGCCTTGTGGGGGTTTGAACAGCCGGTTCCTCTTTCTTAATTCTCCGATAAGTCAGGGCCAAGCCAGCTCCGATCAGCCAGAACCCTGTTATCATGGTTCATAGGTAGATATCTTCAGCGTCCTCGATCCACAGTCCCGCCAGGCACACGATCCTCTGCCACCCGTCCATCGTGTATCCGGCAGGGAAAGTCCCTCCAGGGCACTCAGGCTCACCCGAGCCCAGACTTCTCGTTGAGAAAAGGGTGTCAATAGCATTCAGAGACCAGTTGATCAAATCCATAATTCTCTTTAGGTTTTAGAAACAGACTGTGAGAGACTGTTCCAGGGAAAGTAATACAAACGAGACAAGACAAGGACACAAGAGGCTAAGCAGGGAAGATAAGGGAGAGGAGGAGAGGAGAAAAGTACAACCGCCTTCGCCAAGAGCCAGCCGTCACAATCAATGTTTGAGTCCATGGTGGATGGGAAAAGAACAAATGAAAGGAACCTTCAAAATTAAACAGGAAATAATCTCACACAGACAAAATGAAAAGGGAACAGAGATCATCATGGCGGCCATGACCGGTGTGTTTACCCCAAACAGCTCTGTCCTCTGAGTTTAAGCTCTCTGATGATGAACATGAGCTGATAAAAGCCCAAATGAGCTCAGTGTGAGCTAAAATAATCAGGTTCTAAAACCAGAGTTTGACTCAGTCCACCTACAAGGCTGCTGCTCTCAGATGAGTCAGATCCCGTGTGGAGCAGATCTTCTATAAATTGACCACACTACCCGAAGAAGAACAGCAGCCGACTGAAGTCTGTATGAGCAGGCAGCTGGGACCGATGGCCAACCACCTCGAGTTCAATTTAATTAAGATTTCACGTTGAAATAGTTCTTTGTTAATGCACCCTTCACAAAGTCAGCCACCTCTCCTCTTGAGTCTTCAGGACTGCTCTCTAAGATCTAAAGTGCTCGAGTCAAAGGAAGCTCTTTGGGTCATTAAGGTCACACAGGAGGCAGGTGATAGGGTGGGGCTCATAAACATGTCAGGATCTCGACTTTTGGCACTGATGGCTCATGTAAGCTACTACAAATATCTCGCCCTACTTGAGTCGGCTCATGGCAGGTGTTCGGTAGGCCAGGTGTTATCCAGATATTACGATACACCTGACATCTGGCCCAGATGTGGTGGAGCTCTGGCTGAGTAGAGGGAGCAAGACTTGAGTCATCTCCCTCGGTCAAGGCCGATTATGGTCCAAAGAAAACTGCAGATGTGATCCACACGTGGGTCAAACCTTTATCGCTACCTGGTGTCCAGGTGTGACTCAGTTGAGCCTGAGAGATTATTCCAGCTGTGGATCGGACTGCTCCTCCTCACGTTTTCTTGTGAGCAAATATTTGTGTTTTGTGGTTTCGAGTGCCTGTGTTCACACAAGTCTGTGTCACAAACTGTCAATGAGTCAGTGTGAGGACAGAACTAGTATTTAGTTACTTATTCTTGGAGTTAAGTTTTGGTTTCTGGTGCGTCTCTCCTGTTTCATTAGATCTCGGGTGAAAAGCGTCTACCACAGATTATCTCTGGCAGAGCTGCCGGACATCCCAAGTGTACCAGAGCTGGCCAAGGTAAGCACCAGCATCTCAGACTGGTTCCATAGTGTAGCGGTCATCACAGCTGCTTTACATGCTGTACCGAGTTCGAGCCCAAGTGGGTCCATGATGTCCTCTATGGTTGAACTCACCCACTTTGGTAGAGGCTGAGACTTTTGAAGGCTCAGCGTCGTTCTAACTGTAACCTCGATGTTTGTCATTGCGAAGCTGCTGTGCGACGAAGCGGCAGGTCTACGGTTCAGTCCCGTCCTGTACCCAAAGGTAGGCTCCCACACCGTCAGCACACCTGGGTTTCTGTTCCGTGTCAGAGGAGATGATGCACGTCTGTCTTTGTCTGCAGGCATCTCAGCTAATAGTGAACTATGATGAGCATGAGGTGAACAACACCTACAAGTTTGGAGTCATTTACCAGAGATTTGGTCAGGTACCTCACCACCTGCTCACGCTTTGTGTCCACTCGGTGTTTTTGTTTCCATCTTCCTTCTTTATTCCCACTAGTGGACTGATTTCTAACCGAAGCACGTAGGTTTGTTGATGTTAGTGATCAGTGCACTCCATTAGCTGTTACTGTTTTCCACGGGTTTTACTAAATACGCTGCAACTATCGTATGGACGAAATGAGCTGATTTAGAGGTCCTGGGTGATTTTACATGGTATGACCAAATATATATAAGCTGTAAGCACTCCAGAGGACACTGCAGACCAACCCAAGAAGCTCATAAAGATGTTCGCTCATTCTTAGCGTTGCCTTGTGAAAGAATTTGTATTGTGTTCCAGTATTTTGTTTTGGAGTGCTGGGTCACTGGTACGGCCTGGTTGATGTTATTGATCCTGCTGATTATATCAGCACTTCGTCTGCTGTAAAACCTGTTTCAGCAAATGTTTTCAAACTATGAAAAACACATTAGCCAACATTATTTTTAAAATAATAATCTCAGTGTAGTCCGTCTTTTGTTCTTTGGCATCATTAATAAGCACTTCACATCTGAGAGTAGTTCACCTTCTGTGATGAGTGTATCGGTCGTAGCTGACATGTCACCTGTCCCTCAGGTGTCTGAGGAGGAGCTGTTCAGGAACAACGAGGAAACGCCGGCTTTCACAGAGTTCCTGCAGCTGCTGGGAGACACAGTGGATCTGCAGGACTTCAAAGGGTGAGAGACGAGACAAAACTGCAAATCATCACGTTTAATCAGTTATTTCTATCAGTAACATGTCAGTTGATACCAAAGCAGATCCTTTAGTAGCAACTAGGGCTGCCACAAACGATTATTTTGATAGTCGACTAATCAGATCATCATCCATTGGACGTAAAACGTACAGCTTATTGCACCAGCAGCATCTGCTCTTATATAACTATCATTAGCTTACAGCTTTAAGTGTTTAAGGTGCTAACTAAAAATAAAGACAAGATGATAGTTTATTAAAGTTTAATGACATTTGCAGATTGTTTCGGTGAAGTTTAATAAACTCCTTGCTATCTAAAATATAACAGGACACTGGAGTAAACTCTGGAGCATCTCACACTTCTGATAATCAGCTGTGTAAAAACTATAACTTTAATCTCAGACAAACCGATTTACTCAGGAACAAATAAAATACTAAAAAAAGCCAAACAATAACATGTTTAAGTTATCTAAGTGACTCATATATCATGTTTAACCTGAGTCGTGAAAGACAGCGGTGGGTTTGAAAACGATTTGCGGGGAGTCCGGTGTTCTCACGGCTCTAGTGACCTAGCCCCTGGCTAGCTAACGAGCTAGTGGGTAACAGACGTCTCCGAAAACGTCGGAGCGCTTTTGAAAATATGCGGTGTCCTGATAAACTGAGCAGATATTTGAGGTTTACACAGCTACATTCTCGCCTGAAAATATGTTAAACGTTTATTTTGTGACCCAGAAAGAATAATAAGAGTAATATTAAAACTAACTAGCTGCCGCCATTGTTGGAAACTGAGCTGGGCCGCGCTATGAATTCTGGGACACAGCTGCTTCTTCTTCTTCGGGGTTTAACGGCAGCTGGCATCCTTGTACATGCAGTGCTGCCATCTTCTGTTTCAGTCCGTTATTACACTCTTAAATCCTGCTACTCATTCCTGCGTCTTTCTGGATCTTACAAAGCTTCAAACGACGCGTCGACTATTAAATCAGTCGTCGACGATTTTGATAGTCGACGTAATCGTGACTAGTCGACTAATCGTGGCAGCCCTATTAGACAACCATGGGATTTTCTCGGATCTCTCGGAGTAAATTTTGTAGCTGTGCCACAGTTTAGTCCAGCACGGACTGACGGACAAATCAAACACACAGAGCAATGAAAACGGTCTGTAATCAGTGACCCATAAAAAATAACCTGAGACAGCCCGAGACTCAAAGTTTATTTATTACTCAGAATATTAATTGAATTGAATTGAATTGAATTGAATTGAATGAATGCTTTATTGGCCATATGCAGGTTGCCCCGCAGAGGAATAGGACCCCCCCAATTTACACACACAACAAAGACATCACATTAAACAGTGTGTGTTGACATTTCATTGTTTGTCTGCAGTGAAACAAAACATTTACTGGCCCTGAGTGTTTGTTACTGGACCTGTTTAGATTAAGGTTCAGTTAAACGCCTGTTTCATTCTGCGTGTTACGTGTTTCCAGCTTTGCTCCATCACACACAGAGATTAAGCTTCTTAAAGAACAATCAGCACACAAACCAAAATAAATCAGGAGGGAAGCCAGCTCCTCCATGAGCACAGATGGCTGATTCACTCTGAATCGCATTTATTTACTCCAAACTCTAAATAGCTTTCGTTAACCTCAGAGCAGGTCACCTGCAGACTGAGTGGTGCCCTTTTCCTCTGTGCAGGTTTCGGGGGGTCTGGATGTGTCTCACGGTCAGACGGGGTCTCAGTCCATCTACACGGTCCACCGGCAGCAGGAGATCATGTTCCACGTGTCCACCAAACTGCCCTTCACCGAGGGAGACGCCCAGCAGGTAGGCGGCATGAAGATGGCGTGACAGAGAAACAAAACACAGAATGAGTCAGCGTGAAACAGGAGGACGGGCTGCGACTCAGCAGCAGCAGCAGACGGTTTGGCAGGCTGGCTCCGTGTGAAGCAGACGCCTGCAGCAGGAAGGGATGCTCGTCATCACGTGACCCTGTGTCTGCACAATCACAGCATCTCAGTCTACACCAGAGATGGGCAGTAACGCGTTACTTGTAATCTGATTACTTTTTTCAAGTAACGAGTAAAGTAAGGGATTACTATTGCAAAAGCGGTAATTAGATTACCGTTACTTTCCCGTAGGAACGCTGCGTTACTGCGTTACTAAAACCGTGATTTTTTTTGCGAGAGTGTCTCATGACAGCGACGTAAGCGAGTGCGCCGTTCGTGACAACAGCTGTGTGCAGATCAACAGTGGATCATATATCGAGTGCAGAGAGAGTATGAGCGTGCAGCGTTTAAAGCGTGGAAGTACTGACCTTACTTTGAGTTTGATTCCATAAAAAGTGACAAAAACATTAGTGTCCGCTGTGCGTGGGAAGAAAACTTCTTTTTACAGCGAAAAACCCCTAAACTTCCAAACAAGCACCGAGTAGCTACGACGTAATGGGAAACTCACAGAGAAACTCGCGGATCCTTCCACTGACCGCGGCACACCTGCACCAGGGTAAACCTCCGCCTGCCCCACTCCTGCTTTACAGGTGAAAATAGAGCAACAGGACCGCTGAGTCTTTGACTTTATTTATTTTCTGCTGTGTTTTACTTGCATCTATTTGAAAGACTGAGTGTAAACACAAATATTTTATTTTATGTGCTGGAATGTGCAGAAAATAGGTTTAAATGTTAAACTAATTTCTTCCAGTCAGAGAATGTTGCAGATAATTAAATTTTTACATTTTAAAGATTAAAACTAATAAAACAAGTTTTAAAAAGATCTATCGCTTTATCACCTCTTCAGGTTGTAAATAGTGTTTTTAAAAAGTAACTAAGTAACTAAGTAACTAAGTAATTAATTACTTTTGAAAATAAGTAATCAGTAAAGTAACTGGATTACTTTTTTGGGGAAGTAATCAGTAATTAGTTACTGATTACTTTTTTCAAGTAACTTGACCAACACTGGTCTACACCAACAGCACAAACAGGTGAAGCTAGCAGCTACAGGGGACATGATCTAGAGCCAAAAATGGTTTTATTTATTTATTTAGTATCAGCCTGTAAACGTGTTTGTTGCTGCTGTAAAGTTTGAACATGTGAGCGACTCACTGCGAGAGCCTCTGCTGGACGTCAGAGGAACTGCAGCTGTTGATGCTTCAGTGTTTGCACCTGCTTGCATCCAAACACAGCGTGTTCAGTCAGACTGTTGTTCACTGACTGACAGTTTGTCTTGTAACAGTGTGACAGAAGCACTTTGAAGTTGTTGCTGTGCTTCATAAACTTTATGAGCTGTCACGACTGCACGTAACAGCATCACTCTGTCCTTCAGCTGCAGAGGAAACGGCACATCGGAAATGACATCGTGGCGCTGGTTTTTCAAGAAGAGGCCACCCCTTTTGTCCCCGACATGATCGCCTCCAACTTCCTCCACGCCTTCATCGTGGTGCAGGCGGAGGAGCCGTGCTCTGAGACCACCTCCTACAAGGTAGACGCCGGCTTCCTTTTCTCCATGATGGAGGTTTTTTATAGATTTGACTCTGTCGTCTGTGAGGTTCATGGCATCAGATGCAGTTTAATCTGGGAATCAAAGACGAGCTTTAATCTGAATTCACAGAAACAAACCCAAATCCTCGTGGTGGCTGAAGATCTCTCTATCAGCCTCTGAAACATGACAACAACGGAGATGAAGCCTCACACCAGAGGCTCCTCCTTCTCTTACTGAGGAGAGGAAGCGTCTCTATTATTGCTCATAGCTGGGTGGGTTTGCGTGGGTGGGGATCAGACACAGATCTGCCTGTTTCACTCCACCAGTTACAACAGCTGTTCTGACTGACAGGTTTCCATCACAGCGCGAGAGGACGTCCCGCCCTTTGGCCCGCCCCTCCCCGCCCCTGTCTTTAAAAAGGTGAGGCTGTCGGACGTTTCATAGGAACGTGAGGCTGATCTGAGAGCTGTGGTTAAGTCTGCTGCGTTTTGTACTTCAGGGTCCAGAGTTCAGAGAGTTTCTTCTCACCAAACTCATCAACGCAGAGCTGGCCTGCTACAAGAGCGACCGCTTCGCCCGACTCGAGGTAGAAAGAGCTGCAGGCCGTCCCCCAGAGTCACAACCACACCGTGTGTCTAATAAGACAGACGCAGTGATGCAATCACAGTAACAGATTTCAGTACTGAGCTCATAATGTGACAGGAAGTATTTAATTACCGGGCGTTAGTTCCTTGTATTTATATGAACCTACAAACACATGAAGGCAGGACCAGCAGAATAAAGAGAAACACGTCCGCTTCTACAGGAAGCAAAGGAATAATTATGTTGCAGCTAAACTCCTGCAGTGCGTCTGTCATTTCGCTGCACTGTTCAGACTGCGAGCGTACTTGATGGACGCTCGAGTGATTTGTTTTGGTTTCGATTATAAGTGACAGTAGAGAAAAATGATTCATATTAAACATAAAGTCAGTGATGTTGCAGAGAAGCCTGACACTCTAAAAGCTGCTCGCCTGTGCAGAAGATCTGCGACACCTCCTGAACTTTAGAGAAATAACACAGCGAGGACATGAGGGTTTCATGATTCTTTGCGTCTCCGTCAGGAGCGAACCCGCGCCGCCCTCCTGGACAGCCTCCACGACGAGCTGCAGAGACGCTCCCAGAGCATGCTGGGATTGACGTCAGGGCCGGAGGAGGAGGGCCGAGGGGAGAACGGACAGGCCCACGGAGGACTGCTGGAGTCCATCAAGGTGAATGTTGACCTTTCCTCCTGTCGTCTTCTTCTTCTCGTGCTTTGAAATGATGGTTTTATGGGATGCTCCAGAACCAATCCAACTCACATACCTCCACCGAGGAAAGTAGTCCCACTTTACAAGCAGTAAAAGCTGTAATGTGAATGTTAGTGTGTCAGCAGCGTGTTTTAGACTGGAGCTACTGTCAGTGACGCCGGACTCTTACCTCAGCACGTGATCTGTCACTATTACAGTTTTATTTCCCAGTTTTTGGTCCACGTAAATGTGTTTGACACAGTAATAGACATGTTATATAGAGCATGTTATATTTTCCCTCATCAATGAATTATGAAGTAAATTTATTTCTTTTTTATTTACTTTATGGAACTTGTGCATTTTTCCATCCAACTTTCAGTGATAGTGAAGTTAAAGCCGTGCAGTCTTTATCCACAACATTATGTTTAATTAGTAAGAAAATCATTTTTACAACAACAAAGAAATATTTATTAGGAAAAACATGAATTTCATAGCCAGTAAAAGCAGAGATAAGGTTTTGTTGAAGTTGCAAACAGCTGCTTTCTGTATTAGAGTCACAGTCATACTGTGGAGATAGCTACAGCTTTTATTCTGAAAGGCAAGGGCAGGAAGAAGCCAAATCTTTTTCCATTTCAGAGGGCGATGCGAGGGAGGAGCGTCTCCATGGAGACCATGTCGAGGGGCGGGGTTGGACTGCCCACCAGTTTGAGTGGGGGGGTCTGGCACACCTGAACGTGGAGGTGAGTCGTTCTGCAGGTAACTGAAGGAGCAGGTTGAACCCCGCTCGTCTGTGAGCGGCCCCCGTTGACACCTGGACTCTTTGCGTTGGCAGTGTAACGTCAAGTCTCCCGTGAAGCGGCGCTCGGGACTTTTTCCTCGCCTGCTGAGCGTCGACAGCCAAACAGAGAAGCACAGCCAGAGGAGGTAACGCTGCCCAACGTGCCTCTCAGTTTGTTTACCTGGACAGTAAAGTTCAAACCCACCAGTGTGCATGTCAGCACGGCTGCACAGGTGGGGGTGCACCTTCAGGAGAGCTGGTCTCGACAGGTGTGCTGTGTACTGCTGAGCTAACAGCTTTAACCTGCCTCCAGGACATTAACCCCGCCTCCTCCTGTCTCTGATACGCCTCCTCAGCCTCCTCGGTGAGCAGAGGAGCTTCGACGGCTGCAACCCGATGCTGGAGGTGAGGCCAGAGCTGCCGTCCAATCCTAGCTCTCCAGAGGCGGGGCAGCGGGACAGGTGTGTGCAGCAGAAGCAGCAGCAAGTGAAAGAAGCAGATGTTTCAGTTTTCACTGCGAAACAAAAAACTTCATCACTTTTTCACTTTCACGGGCAGGATTCACACGAAGAAGGAGAGCAGTAAGATTTCCAGGTCGACATCCAGCACCTGCAGCTTCAGCATCCCAGCTGACGACACACACCTGGTGAGAAAACACGCTCAGCGCTACATTCAGCTCAGTGTTATTTAGGGCGCCTTGCATTGTAACGCAGACCCTCATCACTGCGTCCTCTCTGTGTCTGTGCGTGTCCAGGCTGCGACGGTAGAAGGTCAGAGTTCAGCTCCGGTCATCGTGTGCCGCAGCCCCACAGGTGCGACGCCCGCTCACCGCCAGCGTTTCTGTTCTGGAGCCGTTCTCACGTCTCGTTTGCTCTCTCCTCTCTCAGAGCTGAGAAACAAGAACTCGCCCAGATCCAACCTGAAGTTTCGCTTCGACAAGCTGAGCCACTCCGCCGCAGTAAGTCTGTGTGACAGCCAATCAGCACGCTCGCTGTTTACCTGGATATGCAGCTGATTGGGCTGCACGACTCTCAGGACGTCACTGCTGTTTTTAATTTTTGTTCAGTGTGATTTTTCAAGTATGTTCTGTGTAATCTGATTACTGAGTGTGAAACCTTCCTTCCGTCTGCAGCAGGGACACTGAGCTGACAGGACGGCGCTGACAGGTGTGTGCTTTCCCAGAAGTCTGCTTTTCAATCCCATTTTTCAAAGTGCTGCTTCTGTCACTCTGTTCTGCTTCTGAGTCTACTTCCTGCTTTATTTTGAAAGTTAGTTCTTCCTGTAGCATCCTATGTTTTACTTCCTGTCTTTGTTGGCTCATGTTCACACTTTCTGGGCGGTGATGTGTTCTCCTCTTTCTCTCGCTGCTTTCCAGAATAAAAGCCTGAAGCTTCAAACAGACAGCAGAAGGAGGAGGAGGGTCTCCTGATGGACCACCACACACACATACTTGTCTTTCTGTCTTTGTGAGGACCCCGAGTGCAGCTCTCCTGTTTCTGTTTTTTTTCTTCTCATCTTCTGCACAAACCATAAAATCATTTCTGAACATAAACGTATGTGTGCGCAGGACACTGAACTCCTTTTTAAACCGTTCTACGGTCAAACTCGACGCAGAGCTCTTCCTGTTTTGCGCTTCATTCAGTGTAAGATGTAGCTGTAGAAACTTTATTTATCACAGAAACAGCAGCAGCTCTTAAAACTTTACTTTAATGAGCAGTTTGGTTTACGTGGAAACAAACTGATGATGAGTAGCTCCAAACACCAGGGGGCGCTGCAGAGAGGGGCTGAGATTCCACCCAAAGGACCAGGACCCGCAGCTAAGCTTCCCTGAGGGGCAGCGGTTGATGCCCCTCTCCCCAAACACCGCTGAGGTGCTCGCGTTCAGCTGGGAGACGTCCTCTCTCCAAGTATTTCAACCAAAACAAGAAAAACAAAAACACCATGGGAGCTCAAAGTTTGGGGATTCACTCGTATCAGCGGCAACCACAAGAACTGTAACGCCCCGCCCCCTGTCTCCCTGTGAGATGATTGGTCCTCAGTGCCGTTTAGTCTTTTTGTCAACCGGCGCGTGCTGGTCCCCCGAAGGTGCCTGGTCCTGGAGGAGAGCTCCTGCGGTGGACGCGAGGCCTTTATCACCCTAAAGTTTGTGACTCTGATGGTTTCTCAACACAGACGCTGTGTGACATCACAAAGATCCAAGTACAGAAAAACTGCGGTAAAGCTCGTAATTAGAAATGTTACGTTTGTTACGAACGCCCACCGCGTGAACGGGGAGGAGGAGCTGCTCGATCTGCGCGTCTGTGGGATTTATTCTTATTACAGTTTTTTCTGATTGCTTAAGCACATTTTTTGTAACTATTGGCTAATTTTGCAAAACTCTTCACACAAATAAGAAAACCTGTCACCCAATCATCAAAACATTGTAGTTCTCTTGCAAAAGCAAACACAGCTGGATTAACTCTTCACACCTTCGTAAAAATGGTGTTTCTGTATCAAACAGTACACACAAGCCATCATCTACTAAGCACACAATGCGCCAACTGCACACTGATGGTATGAATATAAAACACATCTGGCTTTTGCTTTCTCTGTGCACAAGGTAGGCTATGTCAGTGTGAGCTCATACTTCTGTCATAGATCCATAAGCATAGAGGGATCCAAACTTCAAGTACTGGTGTTTATTCAAACACATCAAAACAAACACAAGTGTTTATTTCCAAGTATAGGATTATTTGCAATCGCCATAATGACTATATGGGTTACTTGGTCTGCAGTGAACATGCTTCCTCTGCCCCCAGCATCTGGTCATCTAGCAATTCTGTAAAGTAACAATTTCAGTATTTTTACATCAATGGTATTGGTGTGTTTCTCATTGGCATATGGCAGTGCTACAAGTCTTTGTGCGAAGTGACTGTACTCACCGATTCTCATTTCAAAATGTCCTTATGGTGCTTGCTACAGTGTAGCGGCTCGAGTTAGGCTGGACCCGTTGGCCAGCTACCCTCAGGGTCATTCCACGGTTGATGACATGGTCCACTATTGTAGCTCTGATGTCATCAGCAATTCTATTTCTTACTCTTCCTACCCTTCCTCTCCCCCCTCCTCATCTTCCTCTCCCCCCTCCTCATCTTCCTCTCCCCCCTCCTCGTCTTCCTCTTGCTCCTCCTTGTCCTTGTCATCCTCTTCATCCTACTTCTTCACCTCCACGTCCTCTTCCTCGGCCTCCTCTACTTCTCACTCTTCCTGCTCCCTCCATTGTACTCCGCACACACAGCTTACCTGTATTATAGTGCTTAGGCTGATTGCAAAGTGAACTAATTATCTAAGAAAGTTTTCACATGTGAAAGTGTGCCAGACAGTTGGCAAGTTAGTGTTAATGATAGCCATACATGTGTATACTTTTGCTAGGAGTGTGTTGGAAATTTGGTAATTGAGTGTTGTGCAGTGAATTGTGCCTACAGTTTTGCAAAGTGTGTGTTACAAAATTGCAAACTGAGTGCAAAGCAGTTTTTGTGCTTTTAGTTTTGCAAACTCAGTGAGTGGTTTTGCTATAAGTCTGAATAGTTTTAGAGATTGTGCTACAGGAATCACAGTTAGGGTTTAAGCATTCAGAAAAAACTGTAATAACAAATAATAACACGTGGCTGCGGGTTCAGATTCAGACAGACGCTGCCGTTCTCCACGCACACTGTCACGTCGTGAGCTCCACCTGAACCTTTTTTAGACTGCTGCGGCACACAGCGGCTGAGCGACGGGGCTCAGGTGGGCGGTGCTGCAGGTGAGTCAGAAGTGGAGCTGCTGGAGGTCAGGGAGAAGAAGAAGCTTTGCGCTCCCTCTCTGAGGGACAATCGCACCAATTACGTCGAGTCTCGAGGTCACTCACTCCACTGGAAGCTGCGCAGCTACAGGAGTTCAGGTTTTCAAAATAAAAGCTGTGGTTTGTTTTAAAAGAGGGACGATGATGCAGCATGAACACAAAGATGTCTGCATGTGTTTCTGATGTCATAAAGTGTGTGTGCGTGCGTGCGTGCGTGTGTGTGTGTGAGTGATGTAAAGCATGAATCTGTAAAACTGAACATTTCACAAATAAAAATCAGCTTCTTTCAGTGTTTATTGTTGTTTTTGTCGTGTCATTCTCTCCCAACATTAAAGCGGATTATTTTTCGTCTCAGTGGGTTTTTACTTTTGTATTTTTTTACTGAAGACACGCTTCAGCTGCAGAAGTCATTTTTGTCTGCAGCTACAAACTACTGTGCATGTCGTGTTCATGCACAGCTGGAGCCTCAGAGCCAGATGCTGGTTCAAAGCATTGAAAAAGGTTGATTGTCCTTTTGTGAAAGAACAAAAAACTAACAAATAATTAGTTGTTAGTTGTTCTTCTCTGTGTTTATTTGTGTATTTGTGTGTCTGAGTATCTGTTATAAAACAATTAAAGCAAATAAATATGGAACTTTATAAATAAGAGAGAAAATTATTGTTTAACTGAGAGATGAATAAATGTTTTTATACTGCGTTTTCATTAGTTTCTATTTCTGTCACAGCCTTGTGTTTATTTCTTTATTCAGTGTAATTCTGATAATGTTTTACTCTGTTATCATGCTTACCTGTTTATTAATTAGTTTGTACTTTTTTATTTAGATTTTTCAGACATTGTGCAGTACACTTCAGCCCTGTTATATTTAGGACTGTTTATATTTATTAAAATTTTTTTTACATGTTCTACTATATCGTCTGTGACGCTGTTAGCGTGTCTGTTGTTCAGCACCGCCATCTGCTGAGCTGAGCATGACATCATGTTTTACCCTTAAAAACCGCAGGGGGCGGAAGAGCTCTGGTGCGCCGCCTGCAGGCCGCAGAAGAAGCCGTAGTTACCGTTTCCGGGTCAGCCCAGAGCCGCAGCGCTAGCGGCCGTTGTTAGCTGCTTGGTTAGCACCATGGCGGCAGTACGCAGCTTGCGGGTCTCGGTGAAATCAGACAGCGGCTCTGACCGCTCGGACTCCGATTCCGAGTCGGATAGAGATGCCCGCGAAGCCGAGCAATGGAGGTGGAGGAGGGAGAGCTGGAGCCCGAGGACATCTCCGTTAACCGCTCTCTGAAGGAGCTGCTGCCGGTAAGCCCGGACTAGGCCCCGGCACTCCGGGGACTGGCGTCTCCGTCGCCCGGCAGATCCGCAGGAAGTGTCGGCTAGCGGTTACTTGGACTCCCGGCTCTCTCCCGGGAGTCAGGCGTCCGCCCGTGCTGTGGGGGCTGCCGATGAGCGGCGGGGGGCCTCGCGTTAACCGGGGCTGGTTTGCGTTTTCGACATGTTTGCGGGGTTCGTGTTTATTTCAGTCACTTGTTGCTGTGTTCACGTGCTGTTTGTGTGGAGCGCACGTCCCACCAAACTCTACTTAAAAAACATCGAATTTAAGATGTTTACGTGTAAACGCAGAGTGCTCAACTATTTCAACAGGTATGCGCATACCGAACTGTTCTGCTTTCTTCTAAGCGTGAACCTGGGTTTCATTAGTCTTCCTTTGTTATTTACTCTTCCTGCTAGTATAGAGTGGCCCTGCCATTAAACCTCAGCTAAAACTAGGACGTTTAAAGTTTTTACGTGCAGAAAAATGCAAAACGGGGAGAGTTATTCTATTTGAATACACGCGCACTTAGTAGTTTTTATACCTTCACGGGTGTTTCCTCCCCTGCCAGCACACAGACAGTATCCAGAGCAGTTCATCAGCTGGAGAAATGAAAGTTTTTTCTTGTGTGAAAGTCGCGTTAGAGTTGCTCTGGAGGCCTGTGTGGCTGCTGCTGTGGACTTCATGCAGCCTGTGTTTCTCATGTGTTTACAGTCACTTTGTAATGTTGCTGAGGCAAACCAACAGAAATGGCTCAAAGGGAAAGTGAAACCGTGGCCTCCACTGCTGTCTGTCTGTTTCACAGGACACCAGTCGGCGGTATGAGAACAAGGCCGGAGCCTTCATCACTGGAATCGACGTCAACTCTAAGGTAAACCTTCAGAGTGTGGCCGGGTGTAGGCTGCTGCTTTAAAGTGTTTCTCACTGTGGGTGATATTAGTGAAGTACATGCAAGAGTCTGAGCGCCTGTGGGGTCAGGACGCATGTGTCACCATGACCTGATGATGTCAGGTAAAGAGTGATAGCTGAGTGGGAAGCGCAGGGTTCCAACTCATCTGACTACTCGAGTTCTTTCCTTTTTCCTTCCTCGTCAGGAGGCGATCGAAAGGAAAGAGAAGCGAGCGCAGCGTTTCCATTTTCACGGGAAGAGAAGGTCGGCCAGCGCAACGTTTTCCTGGATAAAGACGCCATGAAAAAAGGTACGTGTCCTCTGTGACTGTCAGCAGGCAGAGACAACCTTTTCCTGATCGGGAGCTAGTTTAACATGTCGTCGTCGTCTTCTTCTTCTGTGGTGCCCAGCCATCCCCCAGCTGCGCATGGAGGCAATCCATGTGATGGGCGTGGACGACATGAGCACGCAGGACGTCTTCGGGTACTTTAAAGAGTATCCTCCGGCTCACATCGAGTGGATCGATGACACTTCCTGTGAGTACGGCGTGCAGACAGAAGAGCCGGGCTCATGAACCTGCTGCACGGGGGCGGGGCATGTGACTCTCCCAGCCAATCACAGCTCGGGTCAAACCCTGTTCTCACCACCTGATGGTTTCCTAG